AAAATTGAATTGAAACGAATCGAAGTTACTTTTCTATTCCCTTTATCCACCCCATTCCCCCTTTTCATACAATTTCGGAGACGGAATAAGCAAGGAGTTCACGACTTGCGATATGCCATCAAATCGTTTCGGAATGGATCGTGAGCATTCCAGATCGCATTATTACAATTGCACGTAGCCATTTTATCGATTTGTGGGTGGGATGCATGTCAGTTCGACATTTGTTTCGGACGCAAATTGGCAGCGGTTTTGAAGGGGTTGGAGGAGAAGCTCCCCAATTTATCGACTCCCCCAAAATGATTGGAGCGACTTCTTTCCAGACCGAAAAGCTCATCAAAGAAACGAACGAAAGAACAAAGAGACAGAACAAAAAAAATAGAAATAGTATAATGGAGTGCGTGTGTCTCGTTAATACAGGATTAAGTTTAATTGTTTTGTACCGCGGGGGGATGGCGGGGGGAGGAAAAGGGGCCCTGTTGCCGCACAATAGTTTATTATAAAAGAATGTTGAATGGTGAGAATTTTCTGTAAATCACGAAGACAATAATATTTATGTTTGAATGGCGCGTTTTCTTTTTTTCTTCTTCTTCATAGTCTTCTCACTCACTATCTCTCTCTGTCTCTGTATGTGTGTGTTCGAATATGATTGTAGTGTGAGTATGTGCGAGACGTGCGCCGAATATATGTAGGTAAGAAAAATAAAATGTGTGTTCTTCTCTGGTTCTTTCTTCCTTCTTTTCGTTTTCGCTTTACGTGAAAGGAGAAGAAAATCCGGACAAAAGGTGGATATATCTTTTACCAGCACGTGGTAAACAACCGTGCCGTGGAGTTTTCTGAAGAACATAATACCGGTGGCACGAGCCTAACATCCTAAGATGACAGATGGCCCGAAAAAGTCTAAGAATCTAGGGAGGAGACGCGCGGGTGGGAGAGGGGCTACAGCCTTCCTCTTCTAACATCCATCCGTCCATGACGGATACACACACACAAGCATTTATAACATCCAGGTTTTTGCAGATCTTACCTATGAACTTAAGAAATCGGGCCGGAAAGCTCGTTCTTTATTTCTTCGAAGATGACAGATTCGGAGGGGTCCGAACGGAAAGGGTTGCGCTCTGAATCCACTCCGCTCCGAGCGGCTTTCTCTATTTTTAGACCCTTCCGAAATAGCAATTTGTGTAAGGAGTTTGTTAAACAGACATCTAATGCAGTTACACAGCTTACCTACATCATTAAGAGGAAACTCAGTAAAGAACGCTCGGCCGTCCGCCTCTGCCATCGTTCATTCATTTTTCTTCGCCGCTTTTTATTTGCTTCCTTCAACCTCACGCATTTTAGTGTTAGGTTAGTACTGTTGACTCCTTCCCAGCTTAATTACTTAATCACTCCGAACCAGCAGCAAGAAAAATAACAAATCAGAAGAACCACGCACAAAGCCAGCTTATACAATTACATAAACACCCGTTTAACCAATTTAAACAATATACACATCATTTTTATGTTTACATGATTATACAACAATAGCAAAATATAACAGCAATTTAAACTTTTACTAACAACACCTCGCATAGTGTCGCTTCGATCAGTGCGGATTCACTATAGTACAATTTTAAAATCTCAATACAAACTAAATATTAAATGACCAAATTTGCAAAGCATTTAATTTCAATGTAATTTGTAATCATGTTAACACACAATAATCATCAAATTTAAACGTTGTAATTACCGAGTTGCAGCGAGTTAATTGTAGTGTAATTTGCACAAATTAGAAGCTGCATTTATTTCATCAATTAAAACAAATACAGTTTATATTTTTAAGAAATTTAATTAAAAAATGTCTCAATTAAATGTTTATAGAAATTTGTGTTACGTTTACCAAAAAAAAACAAAGAATTAATTTTTGCTGCAAATTTTCTATTTTTATTTGAAATAATTAACAAAACAATTTAAAAATATAAGTTTTAAACATTTTTTTAACATTGAAAAAGTCTAAATCGAAAAATAAAATACGTATTAATCAGATAATTTATTTGAAATAATTTGCGACAAAATTAATCTAGATTTGTAATGAAACAATTAAACGACGGAAACACGATAATAATCACAAACATGTTATTACATGAACGCTTCAATTTCAATTTGGCGTTTGCACAAATTCCGTTTTCGTTACGCAATCCGGTGTTTTCTATTAATTGATATTCGAACGTGTTAATCGTGAGCACCGAGTTTCAAATTGGATACAAATTGCAATGACCATGATTTACTTCCTTTAAGAACTTGCATAATAATTAAAAATTGATCGCACCTTTCGAATTTTTACGTTATTTTTTTATAGATAATTATTATTAATTATAATTACTTAATCATCAGTTGTTTACTTTAAAATGTGTTTCGCTTGATGTTAAAATTTCTGTTTTATCCTTTGAGTTATATAACAATTATGAACTGTAATTACTTTATTGATGTTTTTTTTTCTTCTTGTTGTGTGAATTTTGTTGTGAAACACGTAACACGCAATGTGTGATAATAGGATTGTAATAAAGAGTGTTAAATACAGGTAGTATTTATTGGTGGCAATAAAATAATGGGTCTGTCCTCATGGAACGCGCACATATTTTTTCCCACAAAATTGTAAGCAATGAGCACATTTATTTTACGAATACGTGCGGAAATGCAATATAAACATGCAGCTTATTTTTGGATCGGCACAAGTTTATGTCATAAAAAGAGTACAGTATTTTCTTTTTGCTGTACATCCATACAATATATCTTCTCTCTTAAATAATAAACCATTCATGGAAACTATAAGATATTTTCAGTTACAAACTAATATTATATATTCTCAATTCAACCTGTTTTTGAGTGGTCCTTTTTATGCGGTTTTTTTTATACCGCATATTCCTATCCACCGCATAAAAAAAGTTACTCTAATGTATTGTACAAAGTTATTTGTAATAAGTAAGAATTTATGAAAATTTCGAATATATTTTTGTGCGATTTTTTTTTATAGGGACCGCAGTAAAACAGGTTTTTATTGTAATTGGTTTGTCACAAAATCCAATCTGTGAAATTCTATACACAAAATATGAGCGAACATGAGTTTCGTGACTGTAAGAGAATTCAAGTTGCATTTCAGACTACAAAAATTTTATAGCCTCGTAAAGGCGCAAATAACTTGTCCACAATCCGTTTGCGCGATTATAGAAACGAGCGAAATGCAATTTCGATTTTCTACACAGAACTAACTATTAATTGTATGCAAGAACTAATTAAAGGACGTGCTGTTCATAAGCAGGATACATTGTTTCCCAACAATCTCAATTAATTTTTAATTAACAAAAAAAAAATCTGCACCGGTTACAGAAATCCAGCGAAAAGTTTCTTAACGAATTAACGAAAAAAATCGATTGAGTGAAGAAAAAATAATAATAGAAGAAGCGAAATGTAAATAAGAGGAGAAGAGAAGATGGGATTTTCATTAATCTCGTTTAAATTTCCATTGCGCCAGGATTCATTAATTCCGAAGGATAAGAACCATCAGAGACACTCGCAGAATTAATGAATGAGATGCTGCAGACCGGGATAGCTGCTGCATGCTCCCGTTTTTTTTGTATTTAATTAATACAGACATCCATTAATTATGAAGGAAGAAGCGAAGAGAGAATACATCTACTACTACACATACACACCTTAGAGCATTTGAAATTTGCATGAGCAAAGGACGAGCTGCAGAGACTCCCATAGGATTTGAGAACCGAAAACAATGGCACTCCATCTCTTTCCATCATTCATATCTTGTTTGTCTTGTTTCGTTTGTTGTTGTTTTTAACCATTCATTTGCACCGAATAATCTTCCGGACTGATAAGATGAACTTAATTAACTGGGCCGAATTATACTTCCGGTTTGTGATTCCGACGGGGGGGTTCGTGGGACTACGGATTCGTTAATTAATGCTCTTTAATTAAAAAACATAAATCCAATATTTCCGTTCGGAAATTAATTAAAGCGCTCGGGTGGAGTAGATCCGATAAGAGGATTTTATTTGTTCAATTTTCATTCACGTTTTTTTCTTTTTTGTCTCGCTTCTACCATGCCGATTTTAATTAATGGCGACGGTATTAATTTTAAAGAGAAAAGTTTGCCGTCGCGAATGATTAAAATTCGATATCGGATGGAAAGACTCGTGAAAGGACGACGCTATAATCAAAGGGTGCTTCATCCCTGTGATTCTGTGCTACACTCTTTTTTTTTCATTTTATTCAGTTTTATGTAGCCAGCAATATATATTACTTTTCTATCACAAAGGGTTGCTGTATACAATATAGACGTACGGATTTGCATTGTTTTTTGATGCCTGAAAATTCCTGAATACTGATCAATACTAGTTTGCACCAATGAACTACGATATTAATTTTACTATAAAATATGTCATAAAAAATACACATTTTGTAAATTTCTTTATTCTATCATAAAGGGGTTGTGTACAATATTTATGTAAGGATTTGCATTGTTTTGTTCTGATGGCTGAAATTTCCTGAATACTGATCAATACTAGCTTGTACATAAAAATACATGTATTTGTTTAAATTTCTTTATTTAAATTTATATAAGATCCAACGTAATTCTTATGTATGTAATAACTAGTTATTTCTAGAATAACTAATTATGAGATTTAACGATAGGAATGCGATGTTCGTATTGTAGTAATGGTTGCATCGAAATGATCTAAGGGAATTGTATGTAATGGACAGTGGCAGAGGTTCGCTTAGAAACTTTGTGGAAAGGACTTTGCGAGCAATTCCCAAGTAAAATGAGCAACAATTTGTGGTCGGAACGATCGAAACTAATCGCTGCGCACTAATTGAGTGAAGTAATTTAGCGAGCATTCCGCAAATGAATAGGTTTTGGTTAATGAGCTGACGAACCTTGTAACCAATCGGATCCTTTCATTCCTCATTGTTCGAGCAGCAAACACAAAATGTAATGGAAGTAACAAAAACTGTAACTTGAAGCTACATCAAAATCGATTTGGAACGAAAGAAGAATGCAAAAAAGAAATGAATATGATAAGGTTTTTGGGGGGAAATAAAATAAACGCTGATAAAAAAAGAGTGGGTATAATAGTTTTGTGAGATTGGGGACAAACTGAGACATGTGTTTACACAGGAACATGTACGCACTTAAGTTCTAACCTCTGACAAAAGTTTTGCGAAGTGTGTGTGTGATAAGTATGCACACGGATTTCGACATGGATTGCATACACGCGAAGTGATACAAGCCCAAAAACCCAAAGTAAGAAGTAGTGTTTATATATATATATAATTAAGTAAAGTAGTAAGTGAAAAAGGAATCAAGAAACCGTCGACAACATGCCGCCGCTTATAGAGTAAGACCAAGTAAGAAAAGACCCGAGTGCCAATAAAAATCAATCAAAATAGGAGTCCCCGATCGATTTCCACGCCATACTTGGAACGAAATGATTTGCGGTAAGCCTGCCAAAGATTTTACACCTATCCGAAAACTTGCGAAACCTAGGTTTTCCTCGCCGGTATGTACACTCTCCGTGTCACGGTTGCGACAATTCTCGGCGAAGGCAGCACGTCGAGCCCGAGCAAAAGGAAAAGGACGAAGCCGAGGAGCAACAAATAGTACGAACGAAATAGATATAAAAAAACAAATATATATATATATATACACAGAGACGAGAACAAGAAAAGACGAAGGAGGAAAAAAAATGAACACGAAATGTGCGTCTAACGATTTGTGGGAATTCTTGCGTTTTACCTAGTAGGTCGCTTGCGCAACGATTCGCTTCTTCGCTTTTATTTATTCCAGTTTCTATTGGAAAACGTCGATTCAAATGACATCATTTCACCGTTTCGAAAATGCGGCCTCCGCGTTTGCGAAAACCCACCGAAAACGTTAGAGAAACATTTCAAATTTGGCTTTGTCAACTCTGTTGTCGATCTCAAATAACATTTTGTTGTCATCATCCATAATCCATAGGTTAAATGATTACCGGACTCGAAACTAGACGCGACTTGAACATTTCCCTTTCATTTCGCGCTGCATCCATATGGATGGATTCGTTTCATCTTCTAAAATCATCTTTCATTATACCACGGCATTTCTCAATTTTAATTTATTCATTTCACTTAAAATATTTTCTCTTCGTCGCTTACTTACACGGACTTCATTTTCTATTTCCTGGCTAAATTATGGTTTGATTTTTTTTTCTTTTCTTTTCTTATTTTATTTTTTTTTTGTTAGTAAAAGCTCGAATGTTCTTCCAAGCCATACACACACGATCATCTCTTCTTCAAATTAGAAATCTATTTGCAATTTACTCCTCTCTCTCTTTTTCTCTCATCATTTTATTCTCGTTGATGGCATTCGTTCTTTTTTCTTCTTCATATTCCTCTTACCTCGTAGAGAAATTAATTATACACAGTTCCTTGATACTTCTTCAATTACCTAAATATCCGACGCTGATGACGCCGATGACGAAACTCTGCACTCCGTGATTTATTCAAAATCAATTTAAGTTTCATTATGAAAGTTATTGCTTCGATTAACTACGTCTCATCCACTTCCTACCGCTAATTGCACATTTGAATATACCTTTTGTTACATAATCTTGCACGCATCCGTGTGTATCTCGAAAAATAAGAACATTGCTGAACTTCAATAGGTCACACGTTGAAAATGCACATATTTAATATATTAAGACAAAAAAACAATCAATTAAATCAATTAAACTAAAATTGTTTATAATTAGTATTGTCAAAACGTAATGAGGACATACAGTAATATAAATATTTAACCAATTTTGGATGTTTCAAATTAACGCAATAAATTAACAACAAATTTCATTACGTAATTTCCCATTTGTATAAATTAGCCTTTATTAGCTACTTTCAATACTCAAATTAATTTTTAAATCCATTAATCAAAATATTTATATTTCGTTATTAAAATGTACACATCTTATAACATACAAGAAATATGTACTTACAAAAGTTCAAGTAGTTATACTTTATGAAAATACTGGATTGTATTAAAAAAAACATATAAAATCTTCATTTCAATAAACTACAAATTGAACATGTTGATGATTGAATGAAATTGTTCATTCAGCAATTAAAATTGAGTTATTTATTTACCGTTGTTGAAAGGTTACGTCTTCTGTCACCTCCGTTGCGTAAGATCAATTAGATTTCATCAATTTGTATATAAAATGATATATAATTTTATACACATAACAATTCGAATTTGATTGTTTGAAGCAAACAAAAGGTTCATCAGACTAAACATATTTAAGTTATAAAAAAAATATAATAGCATTTTATTTATTATAATTGGTGCAAATTCTTATTTGTGCATACATAACATGATGCAAATTATTAATTATTTCATAAAGAAAAAAAAAATAATAGAAAACATTCCAACGAATTACCAATATTTTTGTTATGAATTATTAGTCGAATGGAAAGTCTAAAATAAATTCCTTACATTTCTGCATTCAATTTACCACACGAATAACAACAATATTTATTTATATCTATTTTATAATTTAATACAAGTAACATATGAAGTTAATCTAATTTATTTGTAATTCCTCTAAATACTGAAATTTACCTCCTTGGCTTTAGAGGAAAAAAAATAGAGATAGAGATGCAATTACATAACTTTTTATTACGAAAGCAATAAATTTGAGTTGAAGCCCATGAGAAAATTTAGAAATTATGGAATCATTTACAAACTTGGAGTATAGCTAAAAAAACTGTTTTTTTAAATTTCATAAATTATTTAAATCAGGAGTAATCATTAATTTGTATATATAATATGATGAAAACAATATTGAATGAGTATTATAGTTTGTAAAATTTGCAAGTTATAATGGAAATGATTGTGAATTAGATAAGGGATAATGGAATAAAGGAATGAATTTAGATTGAAATTGAAGGGGTTAGGGAATTGCAGTTGATGAGCGCTGAGAGATATTTGATGATGTGATTAGAGGTGGAAGGCGAATGGAGTAATGTTTTGACATTTGGCTTTTCGATTAGTGGTTTAAAGGGTTGTGCGTGGGAGTCCGGCCGTCCCTTACGGGGCCGGATACGCCGTGAGCGCGACAAAGACGGAACGATGGTTCGCACATGATGCGTATGGTATGGAATGAAATGGGCATGGGGGGTAGGTAGGTAGGTGGTGATGGTGGTGGTGGTGGATGGTTGATGACGTACCCACCCCAAAGCAGCCGGCGAGCAGCTGTCCGACCCTTATATTAAAGCACAAGCCGGGTGTTGCCCATTCGAGGGTAGATTGCCGTAGAGAGCGTTACATAGTTTGCATGTAGATTTTACTTTGGGATATCTAACGTAACACCGTCCATCCCCCCACCACGGCTTCTAGTAGACGCTTCTACCATAGCAGCACTCTGTCGTTGCGCTCTTCAGCATAGCATACAGTCTGCATCTGGCATTCGCTAACGTAGAACGCGTCTGTCGCTCCGCAGGATTTTTACGTGCTTGTGTGTTTGTTGGTTGTGCAGTGCTGCGCTTTGGTGGATGCGACTTTCAATTAGAATCCACAACGTATTTGCCCGACGATTAAACAACCCCAAGTGTGTTTCAAATAGTGCAGTGAATTTTACCATTCGAGCGAACCGAGAGAAAAGCAGTCAAATTTAAATTCAATACGAGTTGTTTAAAGAGGATTGTAGCAGAAATATTCTCCAATCCCAATAAAAAAATAAATCAAATAAATTGAGCGATAGCCTAGGCTGCTATTCTATACCCGCCCAGTGCTTCTTCGGCTTCGTCTTGCTCGCAAGGCCGGATACCCGCTGAAGCCGCTCCACGGATTGCTCTTCGCGTCCGGACCCTTAAAAAGCTTATGGCTTTTTGCAGTCTATCGCTGAGGTAACAGCACTCCTCCAGAAGTTGCTGGTTTCCTCGACGACACCGACACCGGATCGTAGGACGACCGCCAGTAGGGACTTACATCAAACCGAACACCGTCACCAACCGCATCCGCAAGAAGATGTCTTGGATATTCGCGCTGCTCATCCTCTTGGCAGTTCACCAGGTAAGAAAGAGGCGCGCGCTCCCATTTAAATTTAGCAGCGACTGACATTGGGCCTTTAAATTCTTGGGGCCTCCTTTCATGAATGGAGGAGACAGTGAGATTCGTTTCATTTGGTCAGTGTCCCTCCGCAAGAAAACCTAACAACAATAGCATTCCCAGGGAAAACAGTTTAATAAAAATAAATCCAAAAAAAATAAAGTGGAGGATAAAGAAGAACACAAAAAATAATATATACATATACAGACAGAGACTGTGACATCTCTGCTACCATTCAGGAGATCAGAAATAGACCGCAATATTTTTAAAATCTCGCCACCTATTTATACGTTTATGCGGGATGTCATTTGTTGTTCCTGCCTCTGCGGGGCTCCGAAAAAGGGAAGTGTACAAAGGGGGGTAAAAAGAAAACATGTAAATGAATCGAGCGGAAGGAAGAGCGAGGATCAGCTCTCTTCACATCACATCACATCACATCTACGGAGAGGAGCGCATTCTATATCGTGTTATGATTGTTGTCCTAGGCCAAGGGCAGTGGCGCTTTCGAGCTGCGGCTGTTGTCTTTCGTCAATGAGGCGGGCAAGGATGACCAGGGGAAGTGCTGCAACGGATCGACGGATCTGAATTCCGAGTGCAACGACAGCTGCCATCCGCGGTTCCGAGTCTGCCTGAAACAGTACCAGGTCAAAATCGATACGACGACGCCGTGCACCTTCGGCGACGTCGTCACTTCCTCGCCGGAGGATGGTTTCACCAACCCCATCAGTTTCCCCTTCAAGTTCAACTGGCCGGTAAGTGTCATCTAAATCTAAAAGTAATCAACATCATCCTTTACGTAACGCACCGCCTCCATCCTTATCCTCATCCCAGGCTCCGTGGAGTCGTCGTTCTTCCAAGGACTAATTGCTTCCCGAGCGTGCGGAGCGCAAACCGCGGCCGCCTGCACACGGTTGAGATACGGTACACGAGATTCTGACATTGAATGTACGTATTTCCGTTTGCCGCTCGAAGCGCAGGTATATGCCGTGGGAAAACACCACACGAATTTTATTATTAATTATAATGGAAACAGATTTATCGATCGCCCTGCGAATTCATTTTCCACGATTCCGATGCGCCAATTAAAAGCTTACGCTCATCCTAACATACCATAATTTGCATACGGTTTTTCCCAATTAAAAAATACAAACAAACAATAATTACCTTTAGAATTTTTATATTCGTGTTCTGTTATATATCCGCATATATATATAGATATATTTAGTGAGTGTATTGAAGAAGACGAGAGGAGAAACGAGCATGTGTAAAATTGGAAAGCGTAACCGCCGCGCGCGTTATGTAAATGGATGCGAATTTTTTTCGAACGATTCCATTATTTAATTATTCGTTTTAATTGCACACCGTCGATCGCGAAAACCTACGATTTTCCCACAATTTTCAGAGCAATAAGTAGAAACGCCGGGAATCACAGAGACGAAGAAAAAAAACATTCAACACACAACTATCTATATATATATAAGTATATATGATGCGAGTACTCTTAACCGGTTTCATATTGTTTATGTATCTCTCTTCACGACCCATCGTCGTCCCATCCTCCTCGTAACCAAACGTGTCCATAGTTTAATTGCAACTACCTCCTATTACCATGATGATGATCATGACCATTGCCGATTGCTAAATATTATTTCGTTTTGCAGAACACATTCTCACTGATCGTGGAGGCCTGGCACACGACGGGGAACCTATCTTCAGATGGTAAGTCTGCTTTCTTTATTCTTTCCAAAAAATATAAAGTTAAAATAAGTAAATAAAACCATACAGTGCGAACGCAAATGCATTCAAAGCTTAAGAAAAGAAAACGAAAATGTAAGCGAAAGACGGACAATGATTTTTAAGGTAAAAACCTCTTTCATTGCGCGCCCGAAAAAATAAATAAATAAAAAGAAGTACACCGTACGAGTATGTGGAACAGCTGTCCCGGGGAATTTCAAAAGGAACTTGTCCCTTCGACTCCTTGCTCTTTCGAGAATTCCGTTCGCAGCGCCCTTTTGTGAATAAAGAGAGAATTGAAAGGAGAAGAAGAAGAAAAAATACCTGAGAAATATACTATATGTATATGTGCGTGTGTATATATGTGAGATTGTCCCCGGTATGTCTGAAGGTAAAATAAATACCGATAGAGGTGAAAGACGAGCGTGGCGTAAGGTCTTTAATGTATTCCCAACTAACTGTTTCGGTTGCCATTGTTTACACCGGCGGCAATTATAAATTACGGAGAGGAGCAGCAGCAGTAACATCGTAGTAACGATGGAAAGGAAGTAAAATCGGATGATGCGATGATCATTGTAAAAAAACGTAAATAAATAAATAAATAAAGCAAGATGATCCCGCTCGTCGTTCATTCACAGAGGCGCCCATTGTTCGCCGATAAAATTCGAATTAATTAATGCGGTAATTGCAAGAGCTCATTAGGAAGCGAGAGCCGTTCGCTTCGAACTCTCGCCCATTTGAAAGTTAAATTTTTTTTCAAACCAGCCATAGGGGTTCGGAACCCTGGCGCGTTAATTTTTGTTAGAGGGGGTATTTTTTTATCATCTAGACTGTACATAGCCTTATAGCCAGGTGCTCCATAGTTCAACCGTCCAAACAGTTCGTTTCACTGCGACACCCTACCGCTAGTTCTATCTTTTTCCAAAATGAACGGTTTGCTTTTGTACGCCTGTGTGAGTATGTATATATGCGTGTGTGTGTGACAGATTCGAAATGATAAATGGCTTCTATTTCGATTATCAACCCCATTTTATTTTTTTTCTTCTTCTTCTTTTATATACTTATATATATATATATTTATGTGTGTATTTATATATATATATATCTATAAATTCTTCATTTTTCGTCCTCCAGTACGTTTCTTATCGGTCCGCCGTGTTTGGATTATACGAATGTTTATGGCAATTTGTCCGGGATCCGATGTAAAAATAAACCACTCGAACGGAGAGGAGAGGAGGTTTATTTTAGAGCGGATACTGCATGCGAGAGCCGCGGCGAATTAATTTTAATTAAACTTGTTCACACGTTTACTAGGCTCCGTCAATTATTTAAGAAAATGACGATAATGCCGCATTAATGGTGGATGATTAAATTTTATTGCCTCTCTGCGCGCCGCGTTTTTGGTAGTACTACAATAATTATTGAAGCATACCTCGAGCGTTTCCGATGTCTGCTTAATGTCTTAAACCTTGGTAGCGCCCGTTCCTCGTCCGCCGCGCCGCGACTTCATCTTACGTTTCGCTTCCTCCCGAGAGAACCTGTCTTTTCAAGTTATTTATTTTAAGAGAATTTAACAGACTACTAGTTTCTGGTACATTCCGTACACACGTTCGTCCTTTACGCGATGGACGGCGGGAACAGGAAAGCATTTACTCTTTCTCTCTCCAAGTGTCTATCTTTCACTTGTTCGCTCATCGATTGGTCGGCCCATATTTATTTGTTTCATATGTGTGCTCGAATCACCCATCAGGATATTCAATCACACGGGGGCACAAAGAGTTTCCTCCGAGCAAACCATTAGCCCGGAAGTCCTTTAAGAAATAAGGCCCCCGGGGAATATTATCTGCTTCCGCTCCTCCCCTTTCACCTCGTTCATTTCGTAAACACCACAACACATTCTTGTAAATATATACACATACACACACACGTTTTGTGTATATGCAGTGAAAAGCAACCGGTATGAAATAATTTCGCTGAAGAATCGACGCCTGAAAGTTAATGATCGATTAAGGAAACGAAGTCGATATCATTCGCTTCACCGAGAGATTTGAATCTTGCGCAAAGTGTCTTTAAGAGGCGAGCCATTAAAGGTAAAGGTGTTATACCGGATACAGCTGCTCCTCTTAGTTGCACGATGGTCTCGGATAAAGCTGCAGGTGCTACGCTTAAAAAGCAAATTTTGTCCTTATTTTTTCGTTTTCTTCTCATTCTTGTATGCTGCTTGTTTGCATTTTATTTTTGTTACTGTATATGCGACCCGGAGTATGTCAACCCTTATGCTGATGTTTTATTTCTGTTTTCTTTCCGCGAATTTGCAGTGTTGATTAGTAGACTGACAAGGCAGAGGTTCCTGGAGATCGGAGGCGAGTGGACCCAAGACAACCACACCTCCAGCTACTCGACGTTGCGGTTCGAATACCGCGTGAAGTGCGAAGAATATTACTACGGACGCGGCTGCGAGAATGTTTGCAGACCGAGGGATGACAGTTTCGGCCACTTCACGTGCTCAACCACCGGAAAACGTGTCTGCCTTTCGGGATGGCAAGGCGACTATTGCACAGAACGTAAGTAATCGAAATACCGCGATGATGATGATCATCATCATCATCGTCCTGCAACAACAAAAGTAACCCGATGTAATTGAAATGGTAACCGCATGATGTTCGACCGCAAACGAAAAGAGAGGAGACGGGAAGAGAAAAAAATAAATAAAATAAAAGAGAGAATAAAAAAAATGTAATACAAAATTTGTTCGGAAGACGTGCTTTCTGCTGAGCTATGGCTTTATGCAGTCACCGTTCTTCCCACGATCTAACGCATACCATTCTATACTGCATTATATATATATATACAACACATATACAGTCATATAGTAGTTGGAATCTTTTATCAGGGCTTGATTTTTTGATTTTTTTAATTACAGCACGCTGTCTCGCTGGATGCCAAGGCACCTGTTCGAAGCCCTTCGAATGCACGTAAGTCTACACATTTTGCATTATTTTCGCGACGGTATTTTACCGGATTTTTGTTGTTATTGCCGCTATTGCTATTCAAGTATCAGTATCATCGTGTCCGCGTAATTACAGTCCGAAGAGGGGTATATCCACACTTAAAGAAAAAAATAAATGAAATGATACTAACGAATTACGGTAAATTAAATGGTCCCAGAGGAGCGCGTAATAACACGTAGTCGCGTCCTTTTTTTCACCTACATACCCATATTATTCGCTCGCAACCAGCGTTTTATTGTACACACCGAACAACAAAGCAAAAGTAAAAAGAAAGGAGAAGACCCGTAATTTTAAAGAAGTTAGGTGGTTATTATGATAGAGAGTTGACTGAAAGATGAAGAGTAAGAAAAACAGAATAATGATAATAATAATGAAAGAAGGAAAAAGCAAAAATAAGAATATTTTGTTGTGGTCCGTTTCCTCTTATTAATTTTGTGCGATATTTAATTGGCGGCGGCGGGTCGGGTCCGGTTCGGTTTGGTATGGTTTGGTGTACGTGTGTTCGTCTCCCTGTGTGCGTCTATATGGGTTTGCGCGCATTGCTTTTAACCATGATGGTACATGTATGCGGAATGGGCCGGCGACCCGCAGGTAACCTTTCCTTGACCTGCATTCATGCCACCGGGCAGCGTGGGAAACATCTCTGTGGGCGTGTTGCATATCGCCCCACTACCATCTTCCTATCTCTTTCTCACCGCAATCAGGTATAGGTACCTGGTCTTCGCACGGACAGACTTGCAGCTGAGCAAGTCAATGAGTTCCTATGATATGGTAGGAATATACTCGTTTCCCAGATACATGATTTGAATATATGAATGCTCTGACGTGGGAGCATTGCTAGACTTTTTCCTGGTTGTCTTGGGATCGATTCCCAACCGTTTTTCCTACACATGCTTCTCTATTCTCCATATATATATTTATGTTTATGCATAACGTTAATAATGAAGCGTTTAATTAAATATGGGTTTTTGTTTGCTTTCTGTTTCGCTCGCAGATGCCATTCAGGTTGGGAAGGTCCTCTTTGTAACCAGTGCCAGCAGTACCCGGGGTGCATCCACGGAAGCTGCATGAAACCGTGGGAATGCCTTTGCGACGAGGGCTGGGGTGGATTGTTCTGCAATCAAGATCTGAACTTCTGCACGAACCACAAGCCCTGCCGCAACGGCGGAACCTGCCACAACACCGGCCAGGGAAGCTATACCTGTAACTGTCCACCAGGCTTCAACGGCACCGAGTGCGAGATGCTGGTGAACGACTGCACGAAGACACCATGTGCAAACGGAGGTTCTTGCACCCGCAGCACCAACTCTACCTACCACACGTGCGTCTGCCCCAGAGGCTACCAGGGACCGCTTTGCGAGGAATCCGCAAGGACGTGTTCTGATCAACCCTGTCAAAACGGCGCCCAGTGCATGGACACGAACGGAGGCTACAAATGCAGCTGCGTGGCCGGCTACTCCGGCGCTGACTGCGAGCACCAGATCAACGATTGCAATCCGAATCCCTGCAAGAATGGAGGTAGCTGTGTGGACGATATCGACGGCTACCAGTGCAAGTGTGCGCCTGGCTACGAAGGTGCCCAGTGCGAGGTGAACGTGGACGACTGCCAAGGTAATCCTTGCCTCAACGGCGGTACCTGCATCGACAAGGTCAACGAGTTCCGTTGCCAATGCGTGCCCGGTTTCTTGGGCCTCCTCTGCGAGAAGGTCGTCGACTACTGCATGACAAAGCCATGTGCCAATGGCGGAACCTGCAACCACGTCACCAATGACTACCAGTGCACGTGTGCGCCCGGCTTCGCCGGTAAGGACTGCAGCGTTGAGGTGAACGTGTGCGAATCGCGACCATGCCAAAACGGCGGTACCTGCAGAAGCCGCTTCCCGGGTTTCGAGTGTGATTGCTCCAGAGGATTCTTGGGGAAGACCTGCGAGGAGATAGAGACGAGTGCGGCGCCAAGCGCTCGCGTTTCATCCGAGTCCAATTTGACCACCGAGCACGTGATTGTGATCGCGACAATCTCCACTTTCGTGCCACTCGTTGTGCTTGTCGCCGTTGGCGTCATCATCTGCTTGAAGCAGCGTCGTAAGCGCGAGAAGGCGAAGGCTGATGAAGAGGCGCGTCTCCAGAACGAACAGAATACGGCGCACAGCAGCTTCACGAAACGCGGCGCCGCAATGTCCACGGACGCGCATATGATTAAAAACTCCTGGGGCAAGTGCACCAACGTGCTCAGCTCGCCTGAGGAGTGTAACATCTCGAACGCGGCCATCAACGAAGACGGTGTAGGCATCGGCATCGGAGGTGGCGGCGTTGGTATCGGAGTGGGCGGCGGTGGAGGCGGCTACCCCAAGCCCGGTGTGCACCAGGTCATCGACGGCAGGTCCGTTTACACGCTGCAGCGGTCTAGGTCGCAGAAGCAGCTTAACACCGAACTGGGGCCGCGCGCCTCCTCTGCCCTTCTTGCGGCCAAGCTGCACGAGCCCGACTACGAGCACGTCAGCGTTTATCTGTGATGTCCAATTCCTAAGTCAGTTTAGCGGCTAGCCTAGTTATTTTCCCCGGATCTCCCGGATCGCCAAATCCCGGAATCGCGAATGGAAAATTGGTAAATATATATATGTATATATATATTAAAAAACAAACAAAAAAACAACAAAAAAAAACATACACATAAAATAATAAATATATATATATATATATTCGAAAGGACGGGAAAAATGGAAAGAAAAAGAATTATTATTACGTTTTTTTTTCTCTCCCTCTCTCTCGATGGAGTTTAGTTATGTAATGTTTTTTATTTCTACAAAGAATCATGTTCCTGTATTGTAAACTAAGTCATTATGCATTTTGCTAGGCGCGGCAGGGGTGGCCAATAGATATATTATTATTGATTATTACTATATTTTCTTTCATTCTTGTTAACGCGTTTTCTCTTCTATCGGTATCATTTTACTTCTTCCACAACTATTATAATTATTAACCCCAAACGATTTCGCGCCACCCCTGCGGCGGCAACCGATATTATTATTATCAATATTATTACTATCGTAACGAGCGTAATCTTGTCGTTGTGCACTATATAATATGTATACCGTATTGATATACTTGTGATTTTCGTATTATATATATATATAAATCGTTTTCCAGCTGTGTATTATGTATGATATAAGGATATTGCGTGTGTGTAACCGGAACGACAAAGAGAATACGTTAATATATATGTATATATATACACACACTTATATATATATATATGTAACTTGTAGACTGGTACAATTGTTTTGACCCATCCGCGAGGCGCGTTTCTGAGGGGGGCCAAAATATCGCATTATTATTATTATTTTTTATTAATTTATTTAAATGTCAGCTTTTAGTTATGCTCGTTGAACGTGGGCCCACTTCTATATTGATATATTCGTATAGCAATTTTCGAGGGCTCGAACAGTTATTTTGTTTTTTCTTCTCTTCAATTTCTTTTAGTTATTATATATGTATATGATATATATACACGCGTATTTTAGATATATTTAAATTATTAATCTGTGCATACTGTAAATATTTGTAGTAGGTGTTTATTATTATTATTATAATATATTATTATTATCATCTCGAGACGCGGTGTCACGTGATCGATTCAAAGGCATCCGCCCCTTTTGTCCTAGGCTGCAAAACACACAGCCCGCCCCCCGGGCCTGTCAGCATAGCCACGGCTTTGTCTGTCCGAGTCCCATTCAGAAAGACTTATTGTTCGACTTTGTATTATACAACTTGTACAGTCTTGTCATCAATATTATTGTTTTCGCTTTAGCTTGTCAATTGTGTAAGTTCTGTCGCTGCTCTGATTTCTCGCTCCACCACAATCCACATCCCCTATTTGGCTGCAATCGGATTCCTCCTCAATGGATAATACCTAGTGCGCATACACATATGTATTCGCGTATGCACGTACATATTTATATGCGAAGTTATCAATTGACGAAAGACCCCGACCGTTGCATAAATGCATATCGATATCGACACCTCTGACGGCCGGAGGCGGCGCGCCGCCGTTTCCGTTTCGGGACGCCAAAGAAAATAGCAGCGAAGAACGAGAAATCAGAACAACGAACATTGTATATATGTAATCACGAGAATCAGCCGCCCCCATCCCCCGCCCCTTCAGAACATAAACAAACGGCAAATGACAACAAACATATAAAGTAGATGGACATAACCCACCCCCGGAAACTATACACGAGCCATCTCGAATGGTCTATCGCGCATCATCCTCCAGTTAAGGGATGCTGCGCGGAAGACGCGCGGATGGGAAAAGAATATGTAAATGTAACTGAATTAAAGGAAGTTCGTTCTATTATTATGAATTATTATGATTGTACGTAGCTACTTTGAAAGACTTATTGTTCAATTATTATTTTTTTTTTGTATTATATATTGTACATTTTTTCGTAGTATGTAAAACTTTATGTCTATATAAGTTTAGTATTGTTTCTTTAATAAATTATTCTTATTAATTAATAAAAAACAAAAAATCGTTCGTCTATCTGGCTTTTCTTCGTCACCGCCCGAACCCAAGCTTTCTGTCCCTCTCCTGTATTGATGATTCCAAATTGGCCCACGGCCAATTCCGCACCGCCACTTCCGGTTCGTGGCGCCAACACTCGCCAAAACGACGAAAACAACAACATCAACAACAACGTCGATGACAACAACAACAAACGCACACAAATCGATGTAAATCCACGTAAGCAGATTCATAGAGATCGGGCAATTAACACTAATTGCAAGGATTACATAGGTATGCATTCGACCAACGCTACGGACGTGATTATGCAACGCGCATCAATGCACGTTCTTTTTTTTTCTGCGTGTATTTGGCGCACTTTCGTGGTCGTATGTGATCGATGCATAAGAAACTGACATACTTCTGATGGCGCTGATCGATGTTCTCATAGGCTGTGGTGAAAACACCGAAGATGTTCCGTTTCGCGCCGGAACACTGAATCCAATACTTAAAGTCACTGTTCGATGCTTGTTAGACTTTCCACGGAAGTTGTAAAGATTAAGCGGTAAGAATATCCAAGAAGTCATCGACGATTGACTAACGTTCTCATTTAATGTTCATCACCTATCGCATCTAAAACCTAATAACATTTCGATTGGGTTTCCTTTGAATTTTGTTTTACAGTAGTTTTAGATTCAAGATAAAAATTATTAAGAACACATTAGATTACCGTAATAACTCGAGTATAATACTCATAATTTTTACTAAATTTGCAAAAAAAAAAACTTTAGTGCGTGTTATACACGAGTACAAAATATATCTTAATGTAAGTTCAAAAAATATTTAAAAAAAATATTCTAATAGAAATAACCAATTAAAAATAACATTACCATAACAATTATATTTTTATAGGTCATCAAAAGAAGTAATTTGTTGTGTGCTCATTATTCATTATAGTAATTAACATATGTTGGAGATTCATTATTAGCATTTCGATTTGTAATTTCAGTATTAATTTTGTAAATTTAGTATATTTTTATAAACTACTTTAGCAGTTTATTAAGAACATAATATTTTGACCATTAATAATTCTTATTATTTGTTATTGAATCAATGAACATAACTTTTATGTGCATAATATAAGTCTTCAATATATTCATCAATCTGAAACTTTATTGCTGAGAAAACCAGTTGGGAAGTGAACCAGCCCTCAGGTTCGTGGAAACTCGGAAGACTCGAGCATAAATTCATTCGGATTGACGTTTGAATCAAATAAGAATAGTTTCTTTGTAGAATAAATCAAAAGATAAGTTCGGAGAAATCTGAGACGATTTTCTTCAAGACAAATTGTTGGAATAACCAACAAATTCCAATCTCTCCATTACCTTCCTAAGAATACTCAAATTAATTAATTAATTAAATTAAATTTAAAAATCATTTTTATTTAAAACCTTAAAAAAAATGCAACTTAAAAAAAATAAATTTTCTAATTATAGTAATAATAATTTAAATATTAATTACTAATAATAACAATTAACAAGTTGAAATGTAACTAGTCTTTATATTTGCATAACTATACGAAGCTCAGTTAAGTGAACAATGGGATTGTCTAATAAAAATGGTAATAATGCATTGAATACTTTTCTTGTATGCAGAAATCATTTCATGCACATATTTGGTATATAATAACAGATTTCTTCAACAACGAGGGAAAGTCTGCTTAAAGATTTCTATTCTTCGAATTTATATGAAATATAATGTTATCAAAGTATAATAATTATTTTTTAGTACTTCTTTGTTTCATAATTTTAGTTTTCAATGTTTCATAACATTATTAAAGCTGTATGAAAATATAATAAATAATAAATGAATTAATTTTTTTTTAAATAATTTTTTGATGTATGAAGTAAAAAATCTTGTTTTCAATTTATTATTGGGATTCCCAAAGGTCTATCTCTATATTAATATATCAGAATTTTGGCGGCGCCCCTATAGTACAACTGCGCCCCGGGGCGCACAGTTCGGAAGTCCCTGCTCTATAGAAGAAACTTTCGTGAAATTAAGGAAGTGGATGGAATTGTTAAAATTAGTATCCCCAAGTTTGTATCAAAGAAAAATTGTTAATCAAAAATTTGGTACCGAAGACCATAAATCCGACAGTGCCTCGTTTACCTGGAATCGAGGGGGTGGTAATAAGGGCGTTACGCGGACCCTGGATGCGAAGCAGTTTATTTTCTCATTAATACATCAGCGATTTATACGGCGATAATTACAGGGAGGTAGCATGTTACAGCCCCGTCTGTCGCACGATTCGCTACCCCCGAGAACCTCGGATGAATCGAAAGGCTGTGCTCCCGAAACACACATCATCCCAGAAACACTCTCGAACCTCCTACTGCGTGCTCCCACAAAAACCCCAAACAGAACGAAGCAAAAAAAAACAAAAATATATATTAAAGAAGGCACAGACACACAGAGACACACATATATATATATATATACGTATACACGGCATCTCCGTTCGTATCCAGTAAATTTCTGGAAAACTATCTGTGACGTACAGCGTTTTGTTTCACAGCGATACACGGAATCCCGCAATAAATTCGTGTGGACCCCGGATTCTGGACGGTGGCCAATGGGTGCAGGAGCCAAAAGCCAAATGAATTATAGCCCCCAGCACGAATTCAAGCCTCGCTCGTTAACCGCTTTTAATTAAAACCGCGTACGACATAACATTTAATACTCATTACCCTATTATGCGTACACTTTTATTCCAGAAATTCGTGGCAGTAAAAGAGTATGCGAGGAATTAACCGGTGTAAACGCGTCGAAATTAATTAAGCCTAGTGAAAAGAGGAATGAATAATTTGATGCCCCGTCCGGATTCCTTCTTGCATTATGCGCGTTTCCATCTCTTACAACCTCCATCCTCTGCGCGCTCACGCTTACCGCAATGCGACCATCTCTCTCCTGTTTGTTCTTCTCCAACCATCCATCCATCCACCCATCCATCCACCTCTTGTTCTTCTGCTTCTCCATCATCATCATCATCACCGCCATCAAAACGTCTCTCTCTCTCATTCTCTATCTGTCCTTTTCTCCTACTCCGGGGCAGCTCTTCGGTGTATTTTTATGGTGACATAACTCTCCGTATCATTTTTATT